AGCTGTCCATGGGTAGTCACAGCTACTCTGGTGGTTAAGGCGGAAGAATCACTTGGGCCTGGGCATTTGAAGCTACAGTGAGCCATGGTCATGCCACTACATTTTAGCCTGGGCAACAGAGCAAGACCCTGTCTCAAGAAAAAAAAAATCTGAGGGAAGACATGAACCAAGAAGGAGGCTAGAGCCCCAGTGAGGTAGGTGGATGCTCACCAGTTCTTCCAGAAAATTCCCCTGCCCCTCCTGCACCCACTCATCCTACCTGAAACGGGAAGGCTCAATTCCTCTTTTTTTTTTTTTTAATTGTTAGGTATCTGGAATCGCTTGCCCTCTCCTTGACCCCCACTCTAGAGGGGCTAGGGAGGGAAAAGGAGGGAAGGAACCTCATGGTTCTCCTTACCTGGTTGATCAGGGAACATTCTGCCAAGCAATGAAGATGCTAAAACCCCAAGGGATAATCCATCTGGCAATTCCATTCCTAGGTATATACCCAAAGAATTGGAAACAGGTGTTCAAAAAAAATTATACCCAATAGTCATAATACACTATTCACAATAGCCAAAAGTTAGAACAACCCAAATATCCACCAACTAATGAACGGGTAAACAAAATGTAGTATATCCATACAATAGAATATTATTCAGCCAACCAGGCATGGTGGCTCATGCCTGTAATCCTAGCACTTTGGGAGGCCAAGGCGGGTGGATTACCAGGTCAAGGGATCAAGACCATTCTGGCCAACATGGTGAAACCCCATCTCTACTAAAAATTCAAAAATTAGCTGAGCATGGTGGCGTGCGCTTGTAGTCCCAGCTACTCAGTAGGCTGAGGCAAGAGACCTGCTTGAACTTGGGAGGTGGAGATTGCAGTGAGCCAAGATTGCACCACTGCCCTCCAGCCTGGCAACAGAGCAAGACTCCATCTCAAAAAAAGCAGATTATTCTGCCATGAAAAGGAATGAAATTCTGACACATGCTACAACATGGATGAACCTTGGAAACGTGCTAAGTAAAAGAAGCTAGACACAGAAAGCCACATATTCTTTAATCCCATTTACATGAAATATCCAGAATAGGGAACTCCATAGAGAAAGCACATCAGTAGTTGCCAGGGCTTGGGTGGTGGCAGTGGAAGGTGAAAGACTATTCGTGGATATGGAGTTTCCTTTTGGGTTGATGAAAATGTTCTGGGACTAGACAGTGGTGATGGTGGCCCAGGCGTGAATGTACCAGATTCCACTGTATGGTGCACTGTAAAGTGGCTAAAATGGTTAATTGTATGGAATGTGAATTTATCTTAGTCTGTTTGGGCTGCTTTAACAAAATACCATGAACTGGGTAGCTTAAAAACAACAGACGTTTATCATAGTACTGAAGGTGGGAAGTCCAAGCTCAGGGTGTTGCTGTCTGGTGATGGCCCACCTCCTCATTAACAGAGCCTTCTTGCTGTGTCCTCACATAGTCAAAGGGGTGAAAATATCTCTCTCACACTAGAGTCTCGCTCTGTTGCATAGGCTGAAGTGCAGTGGCGTAATCACAGTTCACCACAGCTTCAACCTTCTGGGCTCAAGTGATCCTCCCGCCTCAGCCTCCTGAGTAGCTGAGACTACAGGTGCGCACCACCACACTCAGCTAATTTTTGTACTTTTTGTAGAGATGGGGTTTCGCAATGTTGCCCAGGCTCGCTTCGAACTCCTGGGCTCAAGCAATTCACCTGCCTTGGCCTCCCTAAATGCTGGGATTACAGGCATGAGCCACTGTACCCAGCCTCAGGCCTTGTTTATACAGTCACTAATCCCATTCCTAATTACCTTGCAGAGGCCCTACCTCTTAATGTTATCACCTTGGGGATTAGAATTTCAGCTCATGAATTTGGGGGGAAGGACACATTCAGACCGTAGCAGAAAGGAAAGGTGAATCCAGAACACCCCTCTGGGTTTTGTTTCCCCATCTGTCACATGCAGATAATAATGTCCCCCATTCTCGACACCCCCAGAGTTGGCATGAGTAATACAGCAAGCAATTTGTGTTACATAAAATGCCTAGCATACAAGATGCACTCAAAATAAATGTTAATTGCTTTTTTCCTATAAAAGTGTCTAAACCTATTTGCCTCATTTTTTTTTTTTCTCTTTCTCTCTATCTGTCTCTTTCTTTTTTGAGACAGGGTCTGCTTCTGTCACCCAGGCTGGAGTGTACCAATTACTGCTCACTGCAGCCTCTGCCTCCCGGTTTCAAGCGATCTTCACACCTCAGCCTCCTGAGTAGCTGAGACTATAGGCATGCACCACAATGCCCGACTAATTTTTTTATTTTTTATTTTTATTTTTGGTAGAGACAGGGTCTCACTATGTTGCCCAGGCTGGTCTCGAACTCCTGGACCCAAGCAATTCTCCTGCCTCGGCCTCCCAAAGTGCTAGGATTACAGGCATAAGCCACTGTGCCCAACCTATTTTCTTTATTTCTTACGACTGTGGTTTGTGGCTCCAGCCAGACAACCTGTCCTCACATGAGGGCTTTGCCCGCTCCTCACTGCACAGGGCAGGCTGTTCACCATCTGGGATGTCTCACCTCCTCTCTTACAGGCCACTGTGGTCTTTGGGCCACTGTCACAGAGTTGCCCAAGGAGTGATTCTATGATGTTCCTCCCCTGAATCAGACTCTCTTGGAGTAGTTGGGGGAAAAGGTCTAGGGACCTGCATTTATATTTTTATTTTTAAATTATTACTCTGTGCTTTATTTATTTTATATATTTTTTCTTTTTTTTTTCATCTCTGCCTATTTTGAACATTTATTTGTTTTTTGAGACTGAGTCTCGCTCTACCCTGTACTTTGATACAAATACTAAAATTTTTACTAAATGCTTCAGGAGACCACTTTAATTTATTTTTATTTAATTTAATTACTTTATTTATTTGTTTTGAGATTGAGTCTTGCACTGTCTCCAGGCTGGCGTGCCGTGGTGTGATCTTGGCTCACTGCAACCTCTACCTCCCAAGTTCAAGCAATTCTCCTGCCTCAGCCTCCCAAGTAGCTGGGATCACAAGTGCCCGCCACCACGCCTGGCTAATTTTTTGTATTTTTAGTGGAGACAAGTTTTCATCATGTTGGCCAGGCTGGTCTTGAACTCCTGACCTTGTGACCCACCTGCCTCGTCCTCCCAAAGTGTTGGGATTAAAGGCGTGAGCCACCTCGCCCGGCCTAATTTATGTTTTTACCATCTCTTCCAGGAAATCTGCCCAGATTTCTCTCTTGCTCCTTACCTGAGTCTAAGGTTCTGAGTGTCAGGGTCAGATTCACCTTGCGTTCTACTGGGTGTACTCTCTCCCATTGGACTGGGGGAGCCCCAGGGAAGATAATTGGCCCTTTCTTTACTCTCCTCACCTTAAGCCCAGATGTTTCTGGTTCTTCTCAATGTTGATTCTCCTAGGATGCTGTAGGAAATGCAACACTTTAAAGTTCTTAGAATTCTGTTTTTTGGCTGGTGCAGTGGCTCATTCCTGTTACTTAGGGAGGCCGAGGTGGGTAGATCACTTGAGGTCAGGAATTCAAGGCCAGCCTGGCCAACATGTTGAAACCGTATCTCTACTAAAAATACAAAAATTAGCCTGGCATGATGGCACATGGCTGTAATCCCAGCTACTCAGGAGGCTGAGGCAGGAAAATCGGTTGAACCCGGAAGGCGTAGGCTGCAGTGAGCACAGATCACACCACTGCACTCCAGCCTGGGCGACGGAGTGAAACGCTGTCACAAAAAA